GTTTTCAATTTAAGAACTGTTATCAATTATATTTGTGTCTGTTGCCTGAAAGCCATTTGGACCTTTCTATTTCCCTTTGTAGCAGGTGGAGTCCAACAGCACTGGGTTTGCTCTGGTGTTCACAGCTGCTGCCCGCTGTGTGGTTTCACCTGGTGCTGCAGGGTGCTGAGCTCTGGCACTGCACCAGGCAGCTTCCCACACCTGCCATGTGCTCCGTGGTCTCTGTCCACACAAATAAATAATGGTATTAACTTCCCTTCCTGCAACTTTTCAATCAGTAGAAACATCTCTCACCTCAGTTCACCTAATTAAGTGTCAGGAATTGATCTTTGGGCTGAAATTGGTACCTGAAGTATGAGGGTGTGAAAAAGCTTTACTGGTAGGATTTTGTTATTTATTGGCAAGTAGAATACAAGCTTCCGGAGAGCTGGTTCAGCTGGAGGTTACTTAATCTCTTCTTTGTTTTTGTTGTTGTTGTTTTAATGTAATAACTAGATATTGAGATAATTTGTTTACTATGCTAGCCTCAGTCACATCCCTCCTTTGGGGCCAATCTTTTCTGACCCCTTAAAGTTGCTAATAAAAGCAATCTTTAAATTTACCTCTATCTTTCAGGTCTCCATCCACTCATCAGCCCTCCTCTGCACGGGGCATTGCCTGCCAGTGAGTCCCCAGGCACATCTTGCTGCAAGCTCCTTGTAATGCTGCCAGGCTTTAAGTATCCAGGATGAAACTTTCTGTAGAAAATTTCTGCTTCTGCTGTGGTTAGGAAAGACTTCAGGCAAAGGAACTTTTGAAAAAGAAAATAAATAGAAATATGTTGTTTTACTCATCCTAACAGGAAAAAGAATCGAGCGATCTCTCAGTTGAGAAGCTCCACCTTGCTTTAGAACCAGGATTGAAACTTCTTTGGAGGATTTTCCTCTGTCTTGAATCTGCACTAAATATGTCCCCTCATGCATTTGGAATAATGAAGATTTGCAGAGTCTTTGCTGCTGCGAATGCCAAATCCCCGATTCATTTGCAGCGGACGTGCTGAGGTGTCTCAAGAGGAGGACCGCTGCTGTGGCTGTGACTGTGGGACACCAGGAGCCTGCAGGAGCTGAGAGCATTCATGGAGCAAAGAGCTCTCCCCTGCCCTTTAGGTCCCTTTCTGACACTCAGGCAGGATGAAATCACCAGTTTCCCCTTTCATGCATTTCGCATCCTGGGGCTCTGTGTGGGGTGGTAGCAGAGAATGGGGATTTTGTGCAGGTTTTCCATCAGTGGCTCCTCCTGGCCGGGGGGTACCTGCTCCGCTAGTCCTGAGCTGTCCTTTCTTGGCTGGGGACAGGTCTTTATATGCTTTCTTGAATAAGAACTCAGACCTTTAATGCTCATTGCTGAACATCTTTCATAAACAGTGCAGGAAAAAATTACAAAATACAAAAAAAAACAGGACCTTAATTCTTATTTTTACCTGTTGGCATTTTCTGTTATCTTCTGTCTTCTTTTTGTGCTCCATTTCCTTGTTTTGTGCTCATCCTGAAAGTACCTAATAACTAAATTGATTTAGTCTCGACCCATACCTAAATGAGAACAGTCCAATCCCAGAGGCTGAGCTGTCAGTTCATTATACATGTATGCCTCTTCAATTGGGTTTGTTTGGATTTAGGGAGCCAAATTCCTTACTTGTAGAAACTGTTGAAACTAGATGATTTGGATTTCAAATTCATGTGCATTTTATTGTTGTATGTTATTTACTGGCAGTGTTGAGCACCTTTAGTTAAATGCCACTGCTTGGTGATGGATAGCCATTAATTTTGCATTAAGGAACACCCCATCAACTGTATTCTGGAGTTTGGCACTGGGCTGTCTTGCTTCAGATACTGACTTGCTTTGACCTTGGGTGTGTAAGGAAAACACCCTGTGTCTTAAATGAGCACTGTAAGAGAGTGGGTTGATGATACCTACGTCAAATGATGCTGTGAGACTTCATCAATTCACACTTTCAGAACAGCACTCAGAGATCTTTCATTGAAAGTGCGATATGAAAACAGTATTTAAATCTGGATGGAGTTGTTTGATAACCCTTGGCATTCTGGATGCTGAACACTTCTCCAAATAAAGGCTAAACATTTGTAAGGGAGGACAAAAAGGTCTGCAAATATTTACTTACTCTTCTAAAAGCTCTCAGAATACATCTGCAGAGCAAAGTACTTAGTACTGTGCTAAATAGCAGAAGGGGCAGCAGAGGTAGAGCACAGCAGTGCAGAGCAAGATCCCAGACTAGCAAAAAGGCTTTTTTCGGCATGATGAAGATGCAGTCCTGCCTGTCCCAGGTCTGGCCCCTTTTTGCAGGCATCCAGGCAGGTCAGGTTTTCTCTTTGGAGCTGCCCACAAAAAAAAAGAAAGCTGAAATTCCTGAACAGATATTCTGTGGCAGGGGAATTTAAAATTTATTTCACGCATGTCCAAGCAGGGGCTGGAGGAAGAGTCCTGTGTGGGCATCTGCCCTGGAGCCCTGTAGGAATGTGACGTGACTCGTGGCAGGTCAGAGAGCCTGGGACATCTGGATAAAGAGTGAGTGGTTGAGCAACAAATGCTCCTGGTATGTTCACTGGCATTTTTGAGCTGAGTGTTGTCTTGGCTGGCTGAATGCTTATGGATTGTCTGCCTGCCTAATGGAAAAGTATTTATTTCACTTTTGTTTATGGTCAGTATCTCCTAAGATTCATTTTCTGGCTGCCGTGTGTTACTTTTATGCTATGGTTTTTGGGCTGTGGAAATAATGAGGTAGTATTTCACCCCCTTCACAGCTTGAAGGCCCAGCCCTCCTGGGTACCATGGAAAGATGCCACGAACCCTCGAGGACGTGGGACTTCATCCCCAATCCCTTCACTGAATGTCTCATATTTATAGAACCTGGAAAGCTTTCTTATAAAGATATCCTTCTGAATCAGTCACAAGGTAGTCAAAATGGTCTTTTGATTCAGCGCCCAACCTCGGTGCTGATGGGCACGTGGAGAGACCTTGAGCAGGGTGGGTGAGGAAGCCTCACGTAGCCTGGCAGTCAGAGCCACTGTAGGGCACCAGTTTATATCATCTGAGGATCCAGCCTGTGCAGTCTGGATTAATTAACCTTAATTTCTGCTCAGATTCTACCTTCCATTAGCACTCTGTATTTCTTTGACAGGAGAAACTTTTCACTGTCTTAAGAAAAGCAGCTGTGTTTTGGGTAAGGCTACTGCGTTCAGTTCACCTGCACACCCGCATGCACTCCCAGGCATGCATAGAGCTTAATTTTGCATAATCATGCTAGGTTTTACCCATGGCAATATACTCAGATCTTCAGAAACATGAGTGTCAGATCCAGCTCCCTAAATGCCTCCCTCCTGGAAAAGCAACTACATTTCTGCAAAAATTAGAGGAGAGGGAGAGGGAGAGGGAGAGGGAGAGGGAGAGGGAGAAGGAGAGAAAAGAAGAAAAGAGAAGAGAAGAGAAGAGAAGAGAAGAGAAGAGAAGAGAAGAGAAGAGAAGAGAAGAGAAGAGAAGAGAAGAGAAGAGAAGAGAAGAGAAGAGAAGAGAAGAGAAGAGAAGAGAAGAGAAGAGAAGAGAAGAAAAGAGAAAGAAAAGAAAAGAAAAGAAAAGAAAGAAAAGAAAAGAAAGAAAAGAAAGAAAGAAAGAAAAGAAAAGAAAAGAAAAGAAAAGAAAAGAAAAGAAAAGAAAAGAAAAGAAAAGAGCCATTTCTCCTACCCACCTTCTTTTCTGTGCAAACCAGAATGCAATCATTCTCCCAAGCTTTCCCCACTTCCACCTCCTTGGGCTGAGCTAGGAATAATTTGATCTCCTGCTCTCAGCATCACTTTTAAGAGACCATCTCTGAAGAAACAATCCTGCCCAACAACAATTATGCTTTCAAATTAATAGTTGCTTGTTACTGGATCCTGATGTACTTCATCGAATTTCGGTGCTGTTCCCTGTAGTCTGACTGAAGATGTGTGTGGCTGACATTTGTCAGGGAAGTTGCAGGGAGGGCTGATCCTGCCTTGGGGCAAGAAAATAAACAAGATGATCTCCTGAGGCCCCCTCAAGCCCTGTGCTCCCTCCTTGCAGGAGTCATACACGTGCTTTGCCAAGCTCTTTGTATTTAACAAGAGAGAAGAAAAAGCCCTGTCATATGACACTGAAACGGCACTGCTACAAAGCTGAGAAAACATCCTTCTTCAGTAGAAATGAAGAAGAAAAATGAAGCTGTCTGTATTTCAAAGTTTTTATGGACACTGGAAGGTGGTCTCCTTTCTATCCTCATGTGATCCAAAACCTGAAGCCATTTTAAATGAGAAACTTAAGAAAGTTATAACAGGGGAAAATATTTTACTCATTTGCCCCACCCCCCCTTTTTTTTTGAACATAAATTCAGTTTGGGTACAATACACATGAAGAACCTTAATACTCTCTTTCCCTCTCATCTACATTCAAAAAAAGGAAAACATTTAGGGATGGAGCCAGAGCATGATCTTGATTAATACATCCAGATGTAATGCTGAAGTAAATCTTATGCTATAAATACAACTACTTTGGGCTCCCATTGGTGTAACAGATAGAAATCTAACGCAGGAGCTCCAAAAAATTCTCCTGCACCTTCCAAGGCTCAGTCAGGCCCACATGCAAAGTCCAAAATAAATTGAATTTACTGGAAAATCCCCAAGATTATGTCTAGAGTGATTCCAAGACTTTTCTGTTTTCCAATTCAAATGAGCCCTATTACACATCGGGAATGTCTGGAGGAGAAATACAGCCTATTTCATAAAGCCTTATTATATATTTTAATGCACACAAGGTAAACATGAAAATGTCTCTTGGGCATTTTGTTGTTTCGGTTTTATAATTCCATGTGCTCTTTAGTTACTTATGAGAATTTAAAAAACAAAAACAAAAAATAAAAATAATAAAAAAACCCCCCACACTTATTTTTTCTCTGCAAGGGCTACATCTGCCACGTCAGACCATGTACTTCATGGGTGTGTTTTAGTCATTTGGTTAGGTTTGATCTGACAAAAGCATAACGAATTGGGATGAGTCAAATAACGTCATTCAGGAAACAACCCCCAACCCAGGTGGCAATAAGCTTGCTGTAGGCAGCCATCCGCCCCAAAACTGATGTTAAAAACTTTCTTTCCGGGCTTCGCATAGCCTCCAACATCATCAGTAATGAGTTCCCCTGGGCTTTGCTTCCATCACCAGTGGACATCCAGAGCCACATATATATTTGTGTCACCTTTGCACCTAAGACTGGGCAGTGCAAGCAGAAAATCTGTTGAAGAGATTTGTGTTTCAGGGGCCCAGTTCCTCCTTCACACAATGCAGGGAAAAACACTCAGCTTCCTAGAGAGATACCAGAAACAAAGTACATGTTCCTCAAGCACTGCATTAGTGATAATAAAACATGCACATTAGTCAGTTACTATCATAGTGCCCTGCATGCATCAGCAGGCTCTAATCACCTTGACAAGCCTCACCTGGGCCACCAGCCCTTCTCCCAGGGCTGTATTTAAGCTCAGGCCCTTGACCCCACTCCTCTTTTGGAGCAGTGCTGTGTTTGTGCTGTGCCTTGCTCCTTGCTCTCTGCAGCCTGACTGCCTGCTGTGGTCTTGGCGCTTCCTCACCCTTGTGGACTTACCTGGTGGTCTGCAGGTCCTGCTCTGCTTTCTGTGCTTAGGTGGCTCCAGCTCAGCTCCTTCTGCAGAGCATCCTGCTTGCTGTACCCAGCAGGTATATTTTGTGGTGCTTCCTGGTGCTCCTGTAACTGTTTGCTCGGACAGAAAGCGTCGTGGCATCGCAGGAGCAGGTACATGTGAACCCATGGAGATTTAAATGCTGGATAGGGAAACACCCTGACCTCCAGGAGGTGTCCTTTCCATGTGCAGTGTGAGAGATCCCTGTGGGTGTGGATCTCCACAAAGTCCATGGTGAAAAGCAGGGATGAATGGCAGCAGTCCCCTGAGCTGAGAAAGTGGTATTTTAATGCTTTCCTGGCACTGAACTGGGCACGGGGTGATGCTGCTGTGTCTTGGTACTGCTGGAGGCTGGTGACCTTCTAACAGGTTCGCTTTTTAGTGGCAGTCACATCGCATAGATGGCTTCCTAAATGCAAAGCAATACCCCTTTCTTTAAGGGGCAGAGAGGTGCAGTACTGCAGTGCTCAAACATCTGTTTCATTTTTGCATTTTCAATTCTAGCTCAGATAATGGGAGCTTTCACACAGGAAAGAAAAAACAGCAAGAGTCCCCATTATTTACCAATCTATAGAGGTATAAATCACAGAGCTGGTAAAGCCCTATTCCTGTGTGATTTGGGTTTTATGGGTTATTAGTGTAACTGGCTTGTGATGCTCTTCTTTTCACATACAAATGGCAACGCTTCATTTATTGTGGGTGGGATTGATTCCCCTCCCAAGGGGTCCCCATTGAACCTAGCATTATTTGCACCAAGCATGGGAAGAGAGGTGTGATTTCTTTAGTCCTGTAAAACCATTCTTTAAGGCTTGGCTTTGTGTTCTCCACTGCAGAGCTCCCTCGCAGGCTGATAGTTACTGTGGCACTAGCGGCTGCACTAGGAGCTAAAGGGCTTGTGGAGGTGGGAAAGCTAAATATCACTGCCCATGATGTGCCTGCTTAGTTGTACTGAAGTTAATGCTACAGGCAGTGCTGCCTAGTCTATGATTTGTAAGGGAGTTTCAGGGTACATTGGCAATATAAAGAATAACTCTTCTAAGAAGTAAGGATTTCTTTTAGCTCCTTTAAATGTCTCTGAGTGAGCTGAAGTCCTGCAGCATGAATTCTTTGCTTTTTTTCTTTTCTTTTTTTTTTTTTTTTTTTTGCAAGTGGTTGGGAACCTCAGGGTCTGCCTCTGCTGCCAGTGAATGGCTGCACTGTGGCACTGCAGGGTGCTGCTCACCTCTGCGGCAGGTCCCTGGGGGTCTGTAGGTGTGTTGCTGCTCAGGACTTGGTGTGTTCAGGCAGGGATTACACCTGGTTGTGCAGACTGCCTACTCCAGTACTCGTGGGAAGGTGCTGTTAAAGCTCTTCAGGGTTATCTGCTTAGGATTATTATTTTGCTCTTTCACCTTGGTAGGTTACAGGACATCTGATGTTCTTGGGTCTAGCGTAGGGATGCACTGTAGTTTCGTGTAACCTGAAGCCTCACGTATATGATGTAAGATCCCTAAGTGATTGCTTACTTAATAAATTTGTGCAGCTGTTCAGCATATGGATTTTCTCTTGTGTTCTTCTAGAAAAGGATAAATTGAATAGCTTCCAAAAACCTGCACTGCAAACTCTGTCTTACTTTAAAAAGCAGATCTAAAAGGGAGAATTTTGTCAATAATGTTCTCTGCAGTGGATTCTCATTGAAGATGCTTAAAGGTCTTCCCAGATAACTTTTTCAGTGTGAAACAGTGACAGATAAGGTAAATAAGAGGATAAGTTATAGGAGCAGTGAGAGGGGCAGGAAGGAAGCTGCAGGAGAGGAAAGAGCGATGATTTGTCTTCAGTTGAGTCAGTTCTGATGCAGCTTTGATGCTTTTCACTCCCCCACAAGGGGAACGGCAAGGGCTGCAAATATAAATATTCATTTTTCTTCTCCAATAAAACTGTCACTGGACAAACCAATCTCAGGAAAAAAACTGCTGTTTTCCAGGTGGGGAAGCAGCTCTGTGGTATAAACCTTGTCCTGAGAATCAGGCACTGAAGTTGTTTTTTTTTTTGTTTTTTTTTTTTGGAGTAGAGTTGGCCATACAATGCATGTAGATTATAACATCCTGCTGAGCAGCAGTGAAGCTGCACAAGCTGGTGATTTTGCAAAGTGGACAGCAAAACTGAGGGTACTGGGGGCATAAAGTTGGCAAATAATTGCACTTCTGGCATGTTTCATAGCAACACCAAAGATCCTCTGGTTTTATAGTCAGTGTGGATTATGCACAAGTGTGCTCTATAGTTGGTGAAGAATTGCACCCGAGAACAGAGTGAGCAGGCACGTCATAGCCAAAAACAGTCAGTGGACTTCTTTACTTGCTGAGGTCTTCTATATTGGTAGTCAATGGTTTCATTGATCCTTCCTGAAAGCCTGTCCTTGATGAAGGTGTTAAACTAAAACACAGCCATACAAAGCTGATGACTCCTTCCTACCCAGTTTGGCCAGGGGATGAGTCTTCCTTCCCATCACTGCCTGTCTCAGAACAGCCACCAGTTAATCCACGTTTCTTCTGAAACACAAGATGCAGGTTGACATGACCATGCCAGCACCTTCTTCATCTTCCACTTGGATTTCCTCCTGCATTTTGCTGTAATCTCAGTCAAGTAGGGATGTCTTTCTTCTGCCAGCAAAGTACCTGTCAGCTCATTCTGTGCTCGGCGGTGAGTTAACATGTTATTCACTAAACTCTTCAAGTCAAAAGCAGCAGTGAAAAAAGTTCCCACACTGCACTCACGCTTCTGCACATACTGACTGTGTTGATTTTTACTTACTGCACATGGCTCTGCTTTGGCATGAGGCATCTTGGTTCCTGCTGACTGTCTTGAGACTGCATGGGCTTGGAAAAAGACGTTTTCAATGGTCTCTCCTACACTGCAGTTAGAAGGGCAAGGTAAACACACCAAGGAATTTTCCTTTCCATTGATTTTTTTTTTTTTGGACCTTATGTACATCAGTTGGAGATGGCTTTTGTGTAACCTGAAACCACTCCAGTGCTCAAGAAAAAACAAATTCTCAGCTTAAAAACACTGCATGTTATTGTGTTGGACATAGCATTCTGACTCCTACTGTGAAGGTCAAAAAGCAAAAGCTTAGCCCCTCTGCCAAGTGTCATGCTAACAAAAGCTAACACTGACAGCCCTGGAAATCAAAGCTCAGCTTATGTGGTCTGGACGATGTCAAGTTGGTCCTTCTCATGTGTGCATGCATGGAATGAGAGCCCTGACTTAGCAAGATCTCCTCTGGGGGTGAGCAGCCCTGCTAGGGAGGTGTCCATTCCCTCCCTTTGGCTCACGGCTCTGGCAGAGGCTGCAGGTCACCCCACGGTGGAGTTCTGCAGCATTGGGATACGAAGAGATGCTTGGAGACCTTTGGCTGGTTTCACAGCTCCCACACAGGCACTGGGTTGGATTCACAAGCAGCTCCTACTGACTTCTAGCTTTTGGTCTGAAAGTTCAAATTTTTACACCCTTTTGCAAATATTTTGTATAGAATTAGGTGAAATTCATGACAGGCAAGGGAAAACCATGCAGACTTTTTCAGTCCTCTGACGCCAAGTTAAGGATGTTCAAATACTTCATTTCTCTTAATGCAAGGATCCTTCTAATTTCCAGCCTAAACTTACTCTCCCCTCAGGCCATCATTTTTCATTTGTTCTTTTGTCACTTACATTTTATATCTGTGGTGAGGACAAATTGTAGATTTAATTAGTGTTGCTGCGAAGTTTTACACTAGGTACAGATGGAAAAACTCACTTGCAATAATCACAATATAGTTACTGCTTTCATACGATTAGCTGAAATTACATTGATTTTCCTCTTCCCATACTCTGCGTAAAAGTACCTTTTATCAACAGTATACACAAATGTTACTCTATGGGGGGTTGCTGGTGTTGCTCTGATTTAAAATAAAACAAACAAACAATGCATAATAGCTTGTTTGTAAATATGCCTTATCATTTATAACACTGCCTATTACTCCTTTGTGACAGTTTGGAACAAAACAGCTGAGGAGGACATTGAGATGTGTAAAACTACAGGAGGGAGGGAGAAGATGGATAGAGATCGATTGCTCACTATTTCCCCTGGTGCAGGAATTAGGGGGCTTCGCATGAAGCCAGAAGAAGCCAGCTCCAAAATAAAGGTGAAGAGGTGATTCTTCATCTCTCACACCTGAGTTAGCTCACCTCCAGGGAGCAGGGCTGCAGGCACAGCAGAGCTGTGATGGCAGCTGGGGCTTTGCAGCCCTGGTCTGCAGCAGCCTGGTTACAGCTGACACAGTAAGTTCCCCCCTTCCAGACATGCAATGAGCTTCTCTGCTTTATTACGTACGTATATCCTTCCTCTGATGCTATTCATACACGTAACTTGACTAAAAGAAAGTAAAGCCCTGAGGTTAAGAAGTGTTTTAAAGCCAGAAGACTTACAGGGGTGGATGGGAGAAATTTTAAGAGCATGAAAGCACCTCCATTGATTTCAGTAGCAGTCGGCTTTGTAAAAGTACCCAATTTACAAGTGTAAATAAATTATTTCAGCAGTGTGAATCATTGCAGTTGTATATATCGAAATTCCAACTAAAGAGGGTTCTTTTTGCTCTGACAACTTAAAAGCATTTAGAAAATACTAAAGAGCTATTGTTTGTGCTATCAGTAAAATAAAGAAAACAAAGTTTACTGAAGCTATTCCAAGGTTAACTCTTGCTAGCAACATGTCATTGTTCCCACATTTTTCCTAACTAAGCTTGACTTGAAAATGCCAGAAAATCCCTTTTCTTCCCAGTACAAGCCTGTTCCTGCAGTCCTGCTGTTAGGCAGGGGCTTGTGCAAGTGCCATTCCTCTCATCCCACCTTCGATGTCATTGTGTCAGTGCTGGCTCACAGTCTGATGTTGCATGACTTAGGGCAGAAAGCCTTTAAGTATTCAAGGAGAAAAGTGTTGATCCTCCACCAGACATGGAGAGAGACAGATAGGATGCTCCTAGGCATATCTCATCATTTGGTGCTCAGGAAAGAAAAAGGGAAGGAAAAAACAAAGATTTCTGTACTGATGGTTTTCTGCAAGTGGACTTTCTCACAGCCCTGCTTCCTTTGCTAAATCT